TTCCACTGTATTCTTACATACGGCACATGGGCAGCACATGAAACCATCGCGTTTGTTTGCCTCGGCCGCACGTAACAAAGAATGCACGCCGTCCATGAACTCTTGGGAGCGACGATCAGCATTGTACATCCAATGCCGACTCATCTGCATTACATGACATAAATACCGTATTAAAACCTAGAACATAATTATTTAATTATACAACATGCATACCACCACAAAAGCTATAAATTTAAGATATCCTCGCTACAATGTAGACAATTTCAACTACCACTAAAAATACTAAAGCTAAAATGCACTTCAGCAGCACAAGGATTTCGCGACCAATCCCAACTAAAACAGACAGATCCCCTGTTTGTTCAACATCTTTGGGCTTATTCGGCTGGATCACTGCCTCATTAGCCGCCATATCTGCCTGTTGTGCAAGATATTTTTGCACGAGTTCAACATACTCTTCCTCCCAGTAGAAGCCTGAACATTCAGTGCCATCCCACTGAAATTAAAACAGAAAATTAGAACTTTAATCACAACCATCATAAAAATAGGTATAAACTAACCATAGTCATTAAATACGATAAAATAACTCACATTGCGATCCGGACACTTGTAGAAAATACGACCTTTGTTGGGACCCTCCTTCTTCACTCGGTACTCCATCATAATTTTCGTCTCATCACAACACTTGCCGCATGCAATGAGTGGGAGGCCCGGCCTAAGTCGCTTGGAAATCCATGAGAGGCCGAGGAGCCGGAAACAGTTGTCATCTACTCTCTATACTCATTTTTTAAACAAATAAAATTAAAAAAACTCTAAAATTCTCTATATCTCTAAACAATGAAGTGTGCTATGCATGCTACAAATGAACGATGAATACTAGTTTTTAATAGCTACTTTAACCTTCCTTCATGTAAAAATGCAAGCTTGAAGTTTAAAGGTTTCCATAGCGTTTAACACTACTCTGCTTGCTGAGAAAGTTGCTAGTGTTGTGTCGTTGGCATTTTTCATGGCCATGGCCATGGTCATTGTGTTCTTGTCTTTTACTGCGGCAGGTAAGTAATTCACATGATATTTCCGCAAATTAACAGAAGAATGAGAGTGTACACACATAACAATCGATTATCGCTTATATTTATATATATACTACGTTTGGGTACGGTGATTGACAGACTACTGCGACGATATCGGGACGTGTGAATAAATAATCATCCGTACTAGTTGACCTTGCTTACGTGATCGGCGAGCATTTCTTCACCGGACGGCATCGTACTTGGCCACGGAAGAGCTCCGATTCTACGAGAAAGGAACACGGTATTCCGCGACCATTGCCGCTCTCTCTCGTAGAGTCAAAGCTCCTCCTTGACGTCCGTTACCGCTCGACAGAGAACATGCTCGCCGAGATGAACACGGTCCGCAAGTTCAACTAGCTACTTTAACCTTCTTTCATGTAAATATGCAAGCTTGATGTGATTTTGAGCTCAAATTGCTTACAAATGAAAAAAAACCACAATAAAGAACCATATATATATAGTGAACAAAATGAGATAAGACAATGATGAAAAATGAGAGTATGAGATTGGTAACCTTTACAACTGAAGAATCGACAGAGGAATCGAAGAAATCGACGGAGGAATCGAAGAATGGATGGACGAACAATGGAGGGAGGAAGCAAGAACACTAGTGCAGTGAGCTTCAAAATGTGCTGAGCTTGGGCTCGGAGAGGAAGAAGGAGACGGCCGGAATATAAAGGGGACCTTTAGTCCCGGTTGGTGGCTCCAACTAGGACTAAAGGTAACTTTCCAACCCCGGCGCAGTGACGGCCCGGGAGTAGACCTTTACTTCCGGTTGGAGCCACCAACCGGGAGTAAAAGTCTATCTTTAGTCTCAGTTGGTGGCTCCAATCGGGACTAAAGGTCCCTGCCACCTCTGTCTGGCGCAGTAGCCGTTGGGCAGGGACATCCAACCGGGACTAAAGGTCTCTCTAGTCCCGAGCGTAAAAAATACCGGGACTAGAGCCCATTTTGACCGAGGATCAAAGATTTATTCTCTACTAGTGATAACGAACTCCTGTTGCAAACCATAATAGTTTTGTACAAACTTTCTATTTCTATTGCCAAATTAGCTAGGGAGAAGCTAGACAAACAAATGAAAAGAAATTTTACCTCTTTGTTAGTAAGAATAAACTAATATACTGTTAATTGGATTATGTCGTACGCACATGAGCATAGGACACCCTAGCTTTCGTTTGGAAATAGACTCGATGGGAGCTTTTGGCAAGTGGAAACCAACACAGTGTCCTACACCACACCTTTTCGATTCCGATCATGTCACCATGTATAGCGGCCTCGATCTTAATTATCCTTCCTCATATATATATATATATATATATATATATATATATATATATATATATATATATATATATATATATATTGAGGGTGGGCATCAGGCATATATATATATATATATATAAGTTCAGACAGCTCTTCTATTGTTCGGTTGTTAAAAGGAAACGGATCCAAAAATAGATGGACCAAAAAATGATCGGAAATTTTGCATTTTTATTATTAGGTATAGATATGCAAAGTCCGCTGAGCTACGCCAAATGGCCTTTTAATGTGCTCTTTTCATTCTAAATTATAAGACATCATCTTAATCTTAATCAAAATTATAAAGAAAATTATAAAGATTTATAACATCTTATAGGTATTACTATGTAAATATAATTAATGTACAATGTAATAATACTTATTTGATATCATAAATATTATTATTTTATTCTATATATGTGTTAAATTTTAGATAATTTGACTCTTAAGAAAGTTAAAATGACTTATAATCTAGGAGGGTGGGAGTAATATTTTCCAAAGACGATAGTAAAACCTCGGCTCAAAAAAGATCATATTTTACGGTCGATATCTCTATCGTAGCATCGGTTTCCAAACCACCGTAAAAACAGGTTTCAACCGTGCGTAAAAATGATTTCTGCCGCACTGCACACGCGCGAACACGCATCAGCGCACGTAGACGTACGAGACGTCACGATGCAATGCGACGACCTGTACGCTTTGACGAACGACGAGCACACGGGCACGGCGCGTCCTCTCGTCTTTGATCCGATGCCGCCCTGCCTGGCTGCCCCTGCGCGTCGGCCGGCCCCGGCCGGCCGTCGTCGTCCCCTACCACTACCACTCGTACGTTTTGTTCTCTTGCGAGCAGCGACTGCCTGCGCAGCAGCGCGCTGCGCCACCGATCGCTGCTGTGAGTGTGAGGTGACATCTCGTCTTCGAGAGAGAGAGAGAGAGCATGAGCCCCGCCACTTCCGCTCGCATTAACGCCGCGGTCGGGCCCTGCAGACAGGAGACCCGGCCATGGCGAAAAGACGGGAGGAGAGAGAGAGGGAGAGGAGAGGAGAGGGAGAGAATGCTGAGGTGACAACTGAGGTGACGACCTTTTGTATAGTACTGTAATGGGGAAAGACTCGTCGCCGTCGTCTCTCCTTCTCTCTCTCCTCTGTCTAGGCCGGCCCCACGAGGTTGATATCTGCGCCGCGTGTGGAGCCCCAAGCCTTGTCAGTGTCTCCCACCCTTGCACCTTGCCTCCTCTCTCTCTCTCTCGCTCTCTCTCTCCTCCTTTCTTCTTCCCCGGCTTGCTGACCGTGACCGCCCTCAATCCTCCATATATATTATATCCTCTTCCTCTCGCTACATACCCAGTGACGGACCATATCCTCTTCTGATCTTCTCCACCCGCCCCGTCGTCCCTGCCCTGGCCGGCCGGCCTGGCCTCTTCCTCCGCCGCCGGACCCGTCGTCTCCTCCTCCTACCTGGTACGCTCTCTTGCCATGCGTCCGTCGTCGATCGCTTTGTGGTTTTTGCATGCAAGTTTCTGAAAGGCTTTTTCTGATCTCGCTCTTCTTCTTCTTCTTCTTCGTCTTGCATCATATTTTATACTAGTACGTCTACATGCATCCGTGCCATCAAATATGCCTACGGCTTGCAGTGTTTACTAGTACTAGTCTACTCCTGCGCATATCATCTACTGTTTCTTCAGTCGATGGATCGTGCAGTACTCACCACGCAGTCACGCACACATCGTAGATTACTGCTAGGCAGGCCAGGCCTGAGCACAGTACAGTACACACACATGCATATGCAGATGGTAGATGCATCAAAAGGGCCTTGCCTTGCCTCAGGCGCGCAGCTAGTTACCCACCGTGCCTTGAATCGGACGGCGACACTCGTTTCGGAGTTTGGAGGATCAATTTGGAATTCGCCATCTTCCATCTGGTACTCGGTAGCCGGTAGGTGTGGTGTGTTCTTCTACAGCTGCTCCCCTTTCTCATGCGTCGTCTGTCTATGCACGAGCACGATCCTCCCTCCTCCCTCTCTCTCTCTCTCTCTCTTTCTCTCTCTCTTCTCTCCCCCTCCAACCAGACCAAACGACAGAGCAGAGCACAGTGCAAGGTGTGGTGTTGCATCTGTTGAACTTTCCTACTATACTCCGTTCATCGAGCACAGTCAAAAGGCTCAAAGCGCAGCTTTGCACTTTGCAGTGACTAGTGAGTCTAAAGTTTGCAGTTTTGCTTTGCTTCCTTCCATTTTCCGCCTTTTCCCTTCTGCGTTTTTCTGCAAGTTTCAGCGTGCGTCAGTTCTTGCATGTCTGCTACGGATCAGCTCTAGATGGAGTACCGAGTAGTACTACAGCCATACAGGTTGGTGTGGCAGCTACTCCCAGCTCCAACCTGAAACCCTAGTTCATCTAGTCTACGATTCTGAATTTCTGATCCGTCCCAGCTCCGTCAGCCCGTCCGGCCAAGAGCAAGACGAAGAAGCGACTGATCCGACCAGCCCTTGGCCCTTGCATTATTGGTTCTTGTTTATTGTATAAACCATTCTCCATTGGTCAAATTAAATCGTTTGACTAACATTTCATGGCGTCATCATGCAGATCTGATCGAGCTCGTTTTCACGCTTCGCGGAGATCAGGTGACCGAGCGAACCATGGAGTTTGCCTGCGGCAGCGTCGCGGCCGCGGCGGACAGCCCTGGCGCAGCGGCGGCGCGGCCGAGCCGGTACGAGTCGCAGAAGCGGCGGGACTGGCACACGTTCGGGCAGTACCTGCGCAACCACCGGCCGCCGCTGGAGCTGCCCCGGTGCAGCGGCGCGCACGTGCTCGAGTTCCTGCGCTACCTGGACCAGTTCGGCAAGACCAAGGTGCACGCGGCGGGGTGCCCCTTCTTCGGCCACCTGTCGCCGCCGGCGCCGTGTCCGTGCCCGCTCAAGCAGGCGTGGGGCAGCCTGGACGCGCTCGTCGGCCGACTGCGCGCCGCGTTCGAGGAGCACGGGGGACGGCCCGAGGCCAACCCTTTCGGCGCGCGGGCCGTCAGGCTCTACCTCCGCGAGGTCCGCGACAGCCAGGCCAAGGCGCGCGGCATCGCCTACGAGAAGAAGCGACGCAAGCGCCACCCGCCGGCGCACCGCCAGCCCAAGCAGCAACAGCAGCAGGAGGAGGACGCCCAGCACCAGTATCCGTTGCACGCCGCGCCGGGCCCTGAGGCCGAGCGGCGCCCCGTTGACGTGACCGAGCAGCCGGCGCCGCACTTCTTGATCCCGCACGCGCACTTCCTCCACGGCCATTTCCTGGCGCCGGTGACCCAGCCCATCGACCCGGCCGCGGGCGGAGGTGGTGGCGGCGGCGGCGGCACTGGGGAGGATATTGTGCTCGCAATGGCGGCCGCCGCCGAGGCGCACGCGGCCGGGTTCTTCATGCCGCTGTCCGTGTTCCACTAGATAGCTCCAGAGCTCCAGTACTTCTTCGACAGTTCCATGGGCTTAATTAGCAGGAATGCAAGAGTGATTACGCGTAAGTAAGCTTGCAGGTTTCTGCTAATGGGGCGATGGATTTGGTCTCGGCGCGCGCGCGTGTATGAGAATATGAGATGCCACTGCCGGTGCCACAATCACCAACCGCTGCTGCCTGCCTTTTGGTTTTAGTGTTTTTGCATGGTCTTTTGTATGCAGTGATCGATAGAATGGCAGGATTAGATGGCATGTTCATTCCCCACGGCGACGTTCTTGTGGGGATATCGTGTGCTGTAGCTGACCAATCGACCTAAGCTTGCGCTCAACTCTCTTTGCATTGCTTCTGATAATTATGCTATGTTATTACTTACCTTCTCATGTTGTTGTCCTAACCGATTTGGCATTTATATGTTCTTCACAAATACTGTCCATTGGTAAACTAGTTGTTTCCAATTGCATGATGATGTTTGGCCTAAATAAGCAAGCTTATGGGTAATGTGCAGAGTGTATACGTAGGTGACATCCCCCCCCCCCACCCCACCCCACCACACACACACACACACAAAAGGCTGCATGTGCATCTTCATCCTATTTATATGTAATTCTAGAGTACATTTTACTGGTGGTTTTGATCTTGTCCTGAGTTCTTATTTTGCTCCTGATACTCGTACATGGAGCTCTCTAAACTTTTCGAGTTCTTATTCTAGTTTTGGTACTTTGAAATTGCACACTAAAGCTCCATAAATCAGCACGGTCGGCTCCCATGTCCTGCACACTCAACTTCTAAATTTGTTTTGAGTTCTCATCTGTCTCATTACTTTTAAATTGCATGCTCAGCTCCTAAAAGTTGTATTTGCACCGCATGTGCCCGCCTCACATGCGTGGACGACACACCGTGATGCACATCGGTTGCCACGCACTTGCCTACGCCCACGCTACCATGCCCCTATCCAGCGACGGAGCGTGACTCAACATCAAGGGGGGGCTAATTAAGTGCTAAGCATGTAGCCCGATAGGATTTTATGGTAGTATACGTAGGTCTCAGCTTATTATACAACGAGTGAGGTGTCATGCTACATAATGAGAACTGAATGCAAAAGCTAGCAAGTCATTATTAAAAAAAAAAATAGGCAGCTATTATGACTCCCAAATCTTTCTACTTTGCAAGCTACCGGTCCTTCAGAATTTCATCACAGAAGCAGGGGCAAGCCCGCCGCCTCCCACCGAGCTCCGTCCCTGCCCCTATCTCACGACAATTGCTCTTGACACCAATCCCATCGCGCTCTTTATGTATTTACATATCAATCTTCACAAACAAATTGAACACAAGTCTACTACATAATGCACTTTAGCAACGTTAATTTTATCGTTGGTTTGTAACATTAACCGGCAGTGAAAATGTTGGCCCAATATAAAACTTCAACCCCAAATCCTCACCCCCACTCTCACAACACCCCCGTCCTGTCGGAGGCATCCCCCGCGTTGCTCAACGTCAGACGCCCTCTTCTCTCTTTGCACCAAACCTCTCACCCAAACAGCGGTGGCACGAGGGCGCGACGACCACATAGGTAGCCCCCTTCCCAGCTGCCGGCAGCTTTGGCCTAGATCTGGAGGAGGGTGGCGGCGCAAGCGGCCCTCTTAAGGCCGCAAGGGGGCTTGGCCTAGATATGGACTGAGCAACAATGACGAGGTGTCTCTATGGTGTGGCGGTATGAATCCACCCAAGGATGGCGGCCTCCTAACATGCAGGGAGATGGTGGTCTGGATCTAGGCGTGGGCGGCGGTAGACAACGGTGGCCACTGGACCCAGGTTGGTGGGCCCCCGTCGCACAGCATCATAAAAAGTGAGGTGGGGGTCGGGGCACAAGGTCCGAGGTTCCCCTGAGCCACCAGACGCCCCACCGAGATCCCAACCCTAACCGATCTAGAGAGGGGGTGCTGCCAACGACGTGAAGCGCCACCAGGCTTTTGCCGCCGCCATCAGCACCGCGCCCGCACAGCTACCTATGATGACCTAGCAGGCACGTCTCTGCTTCCTCTACTATTACTACTCCAGTGGCCATGTCGCGGTGGCGCTATGGCCATGACCGCGCCTTGGCGAGGTACATCAGTAAGTCTCCCATTAAGCTAAGTATTACCTACTGATCTACGCTAGAAGTGCTTCCAGATATATCAATGGTATCAAAGCCAAGTTCTAGTGTGTAGATCTAGTAGGGGGCAGAAAATTGAAAAGAAATCAAAGAGAAGCAGAGGGTTCAATTCGGTTCGGATTGAAACCCTAACCCGTCGGTGAAGAAGAACAGTGCCTCAACGCGGGCCCTAACCCATCGGGGAAGATGAACAGTGACCCAAACCATAACCCTAGATCGGACTTACTTCAGGACGAAGAGAAAACAAGATCCAAAAGAGAGAAGGAGGAGGAAAGGGGAAAGGCTAGGGAGGCGGCTTACCTCGCCGGCCTCCACTCACCGGAGCACTCCGGGAAAGACTCCGCGTCGGTGAACCACGGCGCGTGCTAGGGTGCTGCTGCTAGGCCGCTCGACGACGGCGCGCTCATCCGCTGGGGAGCGTGCGCGCCGGCGAGGGGGCCGGCGATGGCACCACCACCCCTCTACCAGCTCCGGTGGCCGCTGTCGCTCTAGCGCTCGGTGGCTGCCGCTGAGAGAAAGTGAATGGGGAGAGTGGAGTGAGTTAGGGTTTTTCAGGGAGCGGAGCCACGTGAGGTCAAGGGCAACGGTGCAAGGCCGCTAGATGGCGGCACGCTCACCCTCAGGCAAGCGTGCTCACCGGCGAGTAGCCCCACGGCGGCGCCATCATCTCCCACCGCCGAGGAAGGGAGAGAGTGCCGGTCGTCGCGACGAAGAGAGATAAGAGGGCAAATGTAAGTGAGCTAGGGTTTCTGGGTAGCGGCGCCATCGCCGGTTTTCATGCGTCGTGACGTGCGCGTGGCCGTCCGATCTACATCATCGGCGCAGAGACGACGGGCTGGAGGCTGGCCCAGGTGGGCCCGAACGGGCAAGCCGCTTTCCCGGCCCAGGCCCAGGTTGCGGCCTAGGAGGGAGCCGCGCGCGCGAGCGGAGCAGGTCGGGCCGGTTTTTGCCGCTGGGCCGAGCCACAGTGAAGAAATGAGTCCGTCTTTCTTTTTCTTTTACCAGTAAATCTTTATTTCCTAGAAAATGATTAATGGCTCAAAGAAAATTAGTAAAGAGAATTTTCCTGTTGGTAAAATTTATCAATTATCGAGTTTTCGCTGCAAAGTTTAATGTTGGTTATATCTTCTAATTAAATTCGAACTAATTGGAGAATTTAATTTGAAGAGCAGTTATATTTAGTAAATTATGATTATGTTTATCCTCTAATTAAATTGGAACCAATGGAAAAATTTAAATTAGAGGAGTAGTCCGTTTTATCAGATTATGGTATTGTCATTTTCTGACCAACGTTGATGATGACAATATTATAATGAGTTCAAGTTTGAGGTTTAAATCTCTCATAAATTTCACACCAATGTGGTCAATTTTTCAAAGAGTAGATAAGGACAAAGAAATGCTCCTGAACTAAAAAATGTATTTCATCATCAAGTTTCCACTTCAATGATGTTAATTATCTTCAATTAAATTCGAACCAATGGGAGAATTTAATTTTGAAGAACAGTTATATAGATTTCAAGTTAATTTATGAGTTTTACATGTTAATTCTATTTTCTGCCCAACGGTAATGTAGAATTGATGCAGAAGCACCTTGTTTATTTAACCGACGAGATCACTCGACTGCATGTCAACGGGCTGCAATGCTGGGGTATATGAATAAAAAAGGCTTGAGTCAAGCCAGTTTAGGATAGTTTTTGTTAGTTTAATAATTTTCTGATTAAATTGGAACCAATAGGAAGATTTAATTGGAAAATAAAGTATAAGTGAATGTTTTAGTCATCATGACTAAGTTTTGTAAAGATCTATCCTGCATGGGGAGAAGTTTTGTTATAGTACTTATGCTAGTCAATCATGTATGGCGGGAGAAGTTTTGTGATGATTCACATGTTTTGTATCTCGCATAGCGAGAGAAGTTTGGATAGCTCTTATGTTGTCCGAGCATTGACCGTGGCACAATAGAAATGCATCATCATGGTCAATACTAACCAAAGGATAAGAAAAGATGCAAGCGTGACTTGCAAAAGTACATCTAATGATAGGCCTCGTTGAGTTCTCGAAGTCAAATAAGAAAAGTGTACTCCTATACAAATAAAGAAATAACTATGTTCGCATGACATAATCATGTGAATGAAGTAAGTTATACGTGTCTCCTCGTTCATAGGTTTTTTTAATGGTTCTCGAAATTATGGCAGTAAAGTTTATGTCATATTTCAAGGGGGAATATTAAGATCAATTAAGAAAGATACTCTTCATTAAGAGTGAGAAAAAATTAATTAAGAAAGATACTCTTCATTAAGGGTGAGATAAAGATTAATTAAGATGTATGTGACCGTCGGAGGAGTACAACGGTCACAACAATGATACCCCTAAGCAGAGAAATAGCTAAATTCCTGGAACCTTTTAAACTTCCGATAGGAAGATAGCGTAGTCAGCCTCAAAGATGTTAAGGTGGTGCTTAAAGCGCCATATGAGGTTTTAAAGATTAAACCCAAAATAAGATATTTGAAGATACACTATCTTTAGAAAAGATGAGAAGATCTGGGGGAGCATGGTATGTAGAGGTATATAGAGACCTAAGACTTGAAGAGAAGCGGGGCTGTGTGCCCATTTCAGTGATTCAAAACAACAAAATTCTCAATACCTGTTGATGTTGTATAACTTATACAACACATGTTGTTGGCTTTTCAAAGAAGATGAATAATGTAAACAAAGATCTTGTGATATAGGAGCCTGTAGAATCAATTGTCTCTTGGCAATAAAGTGCAACAACAGCCCCATACGAAAGTGTCAGTACCTGAGGCCCCAGAAGGTCTTAAAGAATTAGTAAACCAGTTTTTT